CACAGAGCCTCACCTGATTCCTTTGCCTGCCCATTAAAAGCACACAGAGAACATACAACACTTCCAACTTGTACATGATCTCATGCATAATCTTCATGGACTGGGGAAGCTGATTCCTTGTTGAGGTGTTTGCAAATCCACTCTCATCTGAAGATTCTAAGACAGACAAATTTGAGCTTGGAAGTCTTCATAGTGGTGTCAAATAGAACAGTTAACAAATGTGCAAAAAAATAAGGTATACGAAACTGGCTCATTTGCTCACAATAGCAGAAATGGCTCACTCCATCCAAAGGGGGCAATGCAATCACAAGGATCCCCTTGGCAATGCTGTCCCAGCTTTTCTAGGATCTGCTGCTTATTGCTCCCAATATAGCACTAAAATGCAAATAATGCATAGGAAGGCCCTACCAGATTGATCTAACATTCTTCCCATCCGAAAACGTGAACACTGTAAGTGTAGTAAGAAGTTGGTGGACAGACACCTCTATCAAGCAATGCCAAGAGCTACAGCCATTCTTTTTAAATTATGTGTTATACTTACAGGGATTCCTGGCCAGTTGTATGTGGGATCAGCAATGAGTACCAGACCCAAGGACAGACAGACAGGGTCATCTCATGGTACAAAGAACACTACAGATACAAAAGTATGCACCTACTATACATTGTGTGAAGTGGCCCAGGGAAGTAGGTATAGTCCAGAAGTTTAAGAGTACTGCATTTCCAGAACATACATCAACAACTATTGCTACTGAATGATAATGTTACAGAGATTTTGTCTTCACCTCATTTAGTATAATTTCATTAGAAGATAATGTTAAAAATTGATTGCAGTCCATATGACCAATACCTACAGGTAGTAATGCTATCTGGTTCAAAACAGGTACCTGTGCTGCTTTGCTCCGTCTCCTCATCCGCCACACGCATTAGCGCATCAAGAACAAGTGCATTGTCTAGCCAAGTGTACCACTCCTCCAGCTCCTGAAGAAAGCTAGAATTTCCTGTTGTTTCTGATACTTTTCTTGTTGCTAGTTTACATAATCGCTCAATGAAGCCTGGTATATCAAGAAGCGTAGCTATGAAAGGAACCAAAGCAAGACAATTACCTCAAAAGGCTAAATTTAAGCATTAGTAGATCATTGCAAAGCAAGGCGTATGGGGAATTCAGAGTGGATTTCAACCGCTGGTTCTGTCCTCAGTTTACCAGAGCCATCTCTTTCTCCACCCACAATACTCTCTGAGCATCTTTAAACCTTACTGTTACACATGTTCTCATCTCATCCTATCCAGTTTTTGAGAGTTCTTGCTTGGAACTATTCACATCAGGAACGGAATGCTGTACCTTGATTCATTTCTGCTCGAGAAGGACCCAAGTTCTTTTTCTGCTGAGCATTTTTTGCCAATAGTGTATGTTTGTCATCACTGCCTGTGTCAAGCTCTGAGATTGTAACTGCAAGGATCCTGCAGAAATTAGCAAGCTGCTGTTGATCAAAACTAGATACTAGGCTGGAGAGATTCGGAATGTCCTCTAACTGAATCATTTCCTGAAAAAAAGGAGATACAAATCAGTATGTTGATTGGTAATGAACAAATAATTCTAATCATATGTAGCATAACACAAATTCTTTCCAACATCCTTACATATTTAGAAAGGCAGTAACCTCTACATTTATCACTCAGGCTATAGTTTAACAGAGTTCAGCATAAATATTTTTCCCAAAGTAATTAATACATTTTACACACCATCACATGGGGCTGTATATCTGTTCAAATACAAAACCCAAAGAATACGGCATTAAGCAGCAGACATCACTAGTGATAGGAGGAAATTTCCTCTTCCTTAAAAGCTTTGTTTTTCTTTTGCTTCCTTGATGGTCCTGAATATTACTGTAACTGGGAAACAGGATATTTAACGTGTTCCACTGATGCAACCTGAGTCCTAAGTAAATCCATTTTCAAGAGAAAGTTATATTTCAGGTTCAAGGTAAAAATGAATATGAGGTCAGAAAGAACATTCTCAGGTAAGACAGGCTTATGATTGTTAGGGC